AGAATGTCCTGCTTTTAGTCAAATGAAGAGTCTGACAGCTGCTGAGTTCATCAAAATCAAAGGATAATCTGCTTTCCATATATAATCAAGTGATGATTAACATAATGTGTTCTTCAAAGAGGGGGATAGGAGTGTAAATGCTAGCACCTTTAAGGAGACACTTGAGAGACAGGGGGCGGGGAAGGTTTGAGAAACGGTGCAGAATCTTGTCAGGAGATTTGAAGTTATATGAACGTGGAGTTAAAACTAAGCTCTCGGGTTAAGGCCCTGACACACCAAACTGACACCAAAGAACACGTCCCGACGGACCCGATTGTTGTGTCGCCTCACGTCTCCTCGCGTCTTGGCCAAAAAGTCGCACTGGAACACACCACAAAGACTTCAGCCGACGGCCAAGTAGCACGTACGCACTTACAACTCTGAATACTTTTAAATCCAGGTTGAAGACTTTTCTTTTTGTCGCTGCTTTTAATTGAACTATTCACATCTGCACTGTAACTTTTATCCATGTATTTTTTTTTTTATGTTTATTTTATTAGCTTTTCTTTTTAATGACTGATTTTAAATGCCCTTTTCTTAATGTCTTTCATTTTTTGTAAAGCACTTTGAATTGCCTTGTGTTGAAAAGTGCTATATAAATTTGCCTTGCCTTGCCTTGCCTTACCAGCAGGCGGCGGTAGTGTGTATTCATCATTCAAAAGAGGCAACAACCGGAAGACAGACTGCGTGATACACAGAGAGAAGAAGAACAGACTGCGTGATATAAACAAACAACAAATAGCGTGCGTTCCATTTTCACTCTCGTCCATCACAGACTGTTTTACATAACGACATATAATCGAAAACATGTTTAGTGCGGTACTGGAAAATGAAAAATAATAGCCGTCTGTGTGTGCCTTCTTCACTTCCGTTTCGCTTCTCATGCAGTGATTCGCTAAGCTGAACAGCCAATCAGAGTGATTTATTTTGCCGACAGCGGAAGGTGTCGGAACGGCCGAAAAGACACAACGGTGCGGGACACACCAATCTGAGTAGGGCGACAGGACTCTCATTGACGGCCCGACATCTATCAACGTAACTAACTGCATCATGGCTGGAGAGACTCTTTGATCTGCTATTTTGAAAAGTAAACAGTCATAGCTTCCCTGGTAAGAGATTTCCTGGTTGGCAAAAACTGCAAAAACACTGAGAGGGTCACATTTCCACATGTTGAGAGCGGGTGTTTGTAAGAAATACAACTCAGTAAATTGAAAAAAAACATGTGTTTGCATTCTAGCTAATCAAAAGTATTATATACTGTCACAAAAATGATATTTACCTATGCTATCTCTTATATCTGCACGGCTTTCCACTTGTCATACCAATACTGCAGATATTTTATTTTATTATATTTGAAGGGAGCCCGGCTCTGTGTCTGACCCGGGCTAATTATGGCGAGGAGCTGTGATGTTCTTCCTCCTTCACACTCAGACCAGAGTCTTCTCCAGCGGCTGCGTCAGAGGAGCAGGCCATCAGGCGTCTGTGTACCTCCTTCATTTCTAATGACGCCCTCCTGGACTGACCCAGCACCAGATCGCCCTTTGCTATTTACAGTAATTAGTCCAGAATGTGAGCTGTCAACATGCAACAATTGTGCTAGTAGGCCCCCCCCCCCCCCCCCCCAACACACTGTGCTCAACAACAAGCACCTAGCCTCGGCCACTGGAATGCATTAACTTTCCCCTCTCTCTTCTCCCTCGGCGACTCGTGTCAAATTCAGGTCCCTCAGAACAAAATCTTAATAATTAACTGGCAAATTTTAACATGATTGCTTGTGACACACCTACTCTGGTAATTATTGCTCTGAGGCCATGTGCTAATGAAATTAATGCATTCATTGCCCCAACAAATTAGCATAACTCATACAGATGGCCCACATTTGAGAGCACGCTGCAAAAAGGGGAAAACAACATTCAAGGAAAAGCAACATCAACGAGAAAAAAGAAGCTGGAAAATGAAACGGCGGCACATCCATTTGGAGATTTTATGATGAGCACTGCTTGCTCAAAGTCTTAATGGCTAAAGCCTCGTAATGTTAACCAAGGGTGATTGCAGTCACACATTACAGAGTGATAGCAGAGCAAATGATTATCACTATCATCATTACAGTCATTGCGGATGTACATATACATCTCTCTGTGGACAAATATTAAATGGCCATGCCACCGCAGACATTAAAATGTTATTATACTGATGCATTAACTTACTGCAGCAGAGTTCATATCAATATACAGTAGCCTCCCAACAATCACTCTCTAAATGGCAGCGCTGCATTCACCAGGCCTGCCACTAACCTTTGTTCATGACTCTCTGTGGGATTTCTCTCCTCGCCATTAATAATTGATGACGTGCCTTCCGTACAATGGACGAAGACAAGTGCAATGGTCAGTTTGAGATGCTGAAAAAGTGCAAGAAATGTCTGCTGGTAGGTAAAAGAGGGGCAGAGATGGTGGTAATGTGTTTGCCTGCAGCCAAATACTGACAGGGAAACAGGAAATAGTCAAAATGACTTCCTTTTCAACAACACTGAGGTACATTATTACAGGCAGGTGAGAGTCTGCAGGTTACCATCACAGATTTTGGTACAGTAGATATTCCAAAACCTCTATTGATCCACCATTGGGACCTCATGTTATACTGCAAATCAGTAAACCTAACCATTTAAGGTTATCTTAGATTTTGTAAAATTCCACCGTGGAAACCGTGGATGTATTAATGAGACGGGCAACATTTCCTCCACGATGTTTGCTGAGCCTGTTTATCTCTGCTACGACTGAAACATTTGATTGCTATGTGGCTGAGGAGAAAAAGGAGAAAACAATGACAGCACACTGAAACTGTTTTAGGTCATAAGTGGCATGTCATTTAGATAATAGGCTGTAGCTATATGTTTTTCAGTCAGCTGTTTTTGTATGTCTTTTAATTTCCAAATATGAAAGAACAAAAAAGGCATGCACAGTTATGTGTTTCATTTATTTCAGAGAGGGCCTGCACATGCCAGTGTATTTTTTTCTACTCATCATAATAGTTTTATTTTCTGGGTAAAGATTGCTGTAATATCTTACATTTTGCAACGGTTTTCTTTATTTTTGTTCGATAATTTCATAAATGCAACTAACTTGAGTATATATAGTATAATAATGAAAACACTTTCTAAGCTGTGCTATCAAATATATGTGTTTGCAGCTCCAGAATTTGCCATCCTGGCTCCAAAATGGTGGAATGAGCTCCCCATTGAAATCAGGACAGCATATAGCTTACACACCTTCTGGGACAGACTGAAAACTCATCTCTTTCGACTCCACTTCGAGCGATAGAATTACTAACAAATAACTGCTAACAAAGCACTTATATACTAATAAAGGACTGGCTTACCTAAAGCCAGTTGAGTAGCACTTGAAATGTTTGGCTCTATGAAACCTGATGTACTTATATGATTCTGTTTTCTTCAAGGTTGTGTCTTCCTGGTCGAATGTACTTATTGTAAGTCGCTTTGGATACAAATGTCAGCTAAATGGAATGTAATGTATTTTTTGATAGTAAAGGTTGCCAGCCTCTGAGCTAGGTTAACTAGAAGCTAGGATAAGTCCTCAAAGACTGGAAGCTTTCATGCTAATGAGCCTTGCTAACTAACTTCCCTTTTCTGAGTGGAATACACATTTAACAACACAATGTGTCTTTCCAAATATGAAATGCTGTAAACTAAGAGACAGGCATCTTGAAATGCCAACGATTGATAACCAACAAGAGGTGGGTTGATTTCCAGTTTTACCGGTAAAACTAGCTAACTAGCTTACAAGTCCGGAGTACGATCTAATATCTGTTTGGTTTTGTACAAACCGGTTGAATCAGCATAAGACAAAAACTATTTTATCCTCTTTGGAAATATATGTGCAATAGCCAGAGTATCATTGTAGTTAATAATGATATGTGCAAAATTGACAAGAATGCAAAATGTAGTTATACTTCAAATCCTGTATCCTAAAACATACTTGACACCCGGTTGGTAAAACAACTCAGCCGTATGTAATAGAGACATGTTGATTTGTATAAAACACAGCATCACACTGTGCACCCATTGGTCTTTGACCCCAAATGGAGACAGATTTTTCGATGAATAACAACAATCAGCGGAGATGGAAGTTAAATGTTTCATTTAACTTCCATCAGCGTGTGAATGTGTGTATATCTTAAAATCCCAAAAGGTTGTTGTCAGAGTAACTGTGACATGTTCCTCCGCAGAGTGGATCCCTGCCATACATACACACGAGAACAGACAGCAAAGATCACATTGTCAACCCGCCGCTGTAGAGCAAACAATGAATAAAACACTCAGTATCCAGCCTGTGCTTTGACCCACGCACACGCATGAATACATACAACACATCAACAGCACACTTCCTAATCTCACATGGTTAGTAATGCAGCCACCTTATCCAGCATGCAACCCCATCTGTGGTGACACATCAGCTCCACCATTTTATACGAATAAACTGGCAAACACAAGACACAATGTGTTGACGGGAAATTTGCATTAGAAACGTACCACAGGAAGGCGTGATTAATTTCTGCTCATGAAATGAATACATATTTGATCATTACATGGCTTGTATCCTTTGCCAAATATTGTAATGTTTCTGCTTTCTTTCTGGTGCAATAATAAGGACTATAAGATGGCTCATGAGCAACACAACTGCTGCAAAATCTGCAAAATCACCGAGCAAAACAAAGACATGATTGCTCATTAGTATTATGGATCTGTGCTGCTTGAATCTGCTTTGTGAGATGCAGGCACTAGCTAATGACTTAAACAGTGTTTGTTTAAATGCTTGCTACCAACATTTCACACAGTAAGATTAAAAGAATGAGACATCATCAGATCCCTCATTAAATGTGTATAATACCCTCCCTATTTGTATAATACCCTCCCTCTCCAAACACACACACATCAATACGCTTACCTTGGCTTTGCAGAGGATGCAGTGCAGTCTGTGTTCACTCCCACAGGCCTGCAAGGAAACAGCATTTAAAAGTCATTCAGAACAACATCCATAAAGCTGGACTTATGTAGAATGACACGAGGGACAAATGAATTATCATTGTTTAGAAAATGTGATTGTGTCTTTAACCTAAAGTTCTTAAGGATGATAAACACAATTAAAAAAGGGAAACATACTTAGTTGGAAAAAAAGGTCAGAAAATGTTTCACATTGTTGCGCTTTCACATTTTTTGTTGTGATCTTTAGGGCTTACAATCACCTTAACACCAAAAGTATTAATAATGATTATACTATGTAGTATTTAAATAGTGATTTTCCTAGTGCTCAAATAATTCTACAAGCACATTAACAAAATAAAAACACCATTTAAAAAACATTTATAAAAAAATGGAAAAGTCAAAGACATCTGGTAAGTCAGGTACGGATCCTGTTTGTATTTGTCATATATTGATATTCACATCTGATATGTTGTTTTGAAGTGCTTTGTCATTGTTTTTTTCAGATTTTATTTAAAATAAATTAATGATGATGAAGCTTGAAGTTATAATTCAACTGTGATTGATTTTTTGTAATTCAATAGGTAAGTTATTATGTGTTTTTATATCAATTCAAGCATCAATTTATGTCATTTGATCTTTAACACTAGGCCTGACCTACATCATAGAGGCCTTTTTCTATGTTATTTATGGTATTGATAATTATATGTAAAATGAATGCTGGTGTATGGTGAATAACACAGAAGGAAAATGCAAGCCCATTAGCCGCTTTCACACCAAGTACTTTGCCGTACTTAGTGCCGGCACTTAGTACCCCAGGGCATTAAGTACCAATCGCGTTCACACCGGAGTACTTTTCCCTGAGGAAAGATTACGCAAATGAGCCGCTGACATCACTTCTTCTTCTTCTGCTTTGGGTTTACTGGCAGGCCGCAACCAACTTCACGGTGTATACTGCCACCCGAAGTCCCCGACTGAAGCCTTCCGAGTAAATCGCCAGAACGCCGACACCTCCTCATCACTCCACCGCTCCCATGTTTTTTTTTGTGTTGCCATAAGTTATTCTCTCTCCGTTGGTGCGCGGGGCTAATGCTAATAATGCTAATGCCAGCAAATACAATGGCGGCTTCAAAAAACTTTTCAGAGTTTTACGGGGCGTGGTTTGCAATTCGCCCAGCCGATACCTGCTTCAGCTTGCTGAACTTAAGCTTATTTTAAATGTTGATAAAACCAAGGTAATGCTATTTTCAAAAGCTAAAAAGACACCAGAGCCTGTTTTGGATATTGTTACTATGCAAGGACAAGTACTTGAAGTGGTTACCTGTTATAAATACCTTGGTATCTGGCTTGATGATTGTCTTACTTTTAAACTTCATGTCAATAACCTGCTTAAAAAGCTGAGGGTTAGACTAGGTTTCTTTTTCAGGAACAAGTCCTGTTTCTCTTTTGAAGCCAGGAAAAGGCTCTGTGACCTTTTGACCTGTGCTGGACTATGGTGATCTGATCTATATGAATGCACCTGCCCATTGCCTGGAAAAGTTAGATGCCGCCTATCACAGTGCCCTGAGATTTGTTACTAACTGTAAAGCACTTACTCATCACTGTACCCTGTATGCCAAGGCAGGTCTGCCATCACTTACTGTACGGAGGCTCAGTCATTGGTACATGTTCATCTATAAAGCCATGTTGGGTAAACTACCTTTTTATATCTGCTCTCTGATCTCTCGACGAATTGAAAGTACATATTGCCTGAGATCTCATGATGTTGTTTTATTAAATGTGCCAAGTGCTAGGACTGTCTTAGGGAAAAAAGCTTTTAGTTGTGCAGCTCCACTAAATTGGAACAGTCTGCAAACATGTTTAAAACTGAGCACTTTGGTTCCCCTGCATCATTTTAAAACTCAGCTGGGTGACATGCTGTTTGATACTCATGGTACCTGTCTCTGTGAATAGAGTTTGTAAACTGTACCCTGTACATTATGTTGTTTGTCATCCTTATTGTTGTTCTGTTGTTTTTATGTTTCATGTGTAACTAATGTCCTGCAGGTCACCCTTGAAAAAGAGATCTTTTGATCTCAAGGGGCTTCACCTGGTTAAATAAAGGCTACAAACAAACAAACAATAGCAATTGGTACTTTTTTGGTACCACCTCCCTAGCAGGCACTAAAAATGGGGGTAAAAGTTCCCGGCACTAAGTACTCTTTTTGGTGTGAACGCGACATAAGGGGTACTAACGGAACTAAACGGGAAAAGTACGGGGAAAAGTACTCCGGTGTGAACGCGCTTATTATGCTCTTAAAAAAATAAATCATATAAAAAGTATATTTCCTTATTCTTCATCCCTTGTGTGTTTTGTCCTTGTTGTGTTTTGCACCTCCAGGCTACTGTAGGTTTAGCAATTAATGAAAAGACATACATAACGAGCTGTTTGGTAATGTGCACACTTAATGTACACTTCACATGACAGAACTGCACATGGAACAAAATAACGCTGGCAATAATCTCTGAGCTGGTGCTAAGTATGTAAAGATGCAAATAACAAGAAAAGCATTTGTACAAACAAACTGCCAAACCCACACACACACACACACACACACACACACACACACACACACACACACACACACCACACACACATGCACGGGCACTTCCTGATAGATGTTTATGGCATATCATTATAGAACACTGCTATTAGGCAATGTGATTTTATAAAGAGGACCATTGCCCCTGGCACTGTGGCCTGATTGCTGTGAGTGTTGTTCTAATGAATGTAAACCAAGTCTGTTTGAGAATTATCAACCCATGAGAGACTGAGTGGGGGGGGGGTGAACTCACTGTTCACACCATTGCAATTAGATGGAAACATGGGCATGCACACGTATAGGCAAGGGCATGCTTGCAGGTCAGCATGTTAGCTCTGCACAACATCTTATTTTTTACATATAGGATTCGCAGTGGGTGTATTTAATGGAGCTTTGAAAAAAACATTTAGCCTTCAGTATAGATTGTGTTGGATTTAAACATTTTGTGGATTAAAAAAGTTATGATATCTATATTTTCTTAATAAATGTTGACTTTTGGAGTACAATGTTGTGGAGTTATTGGACATGTTGATAAGAGTAAGAAACAATCCTGCGCAGCAAGCACTAAAACATAATAATATCATGTTAATAATAATGCTTGTTCTGTAACTGTTCAGAAATTCAGGTTTTAACTGAACTAAGGAAAAAAGTAAGCTTCAGGCATTCAAATTTAGATTTAGAATGTGTTATTAAGCTTTTAACTTTCCTGTATAGCCCTGGTTCACACTGTTGTCATCGCTTCACTCTCTACTTAATTAATGCTATCTTCAGCTAGCAAGTTCTTAGCATTTCCAAAACCCCCCTCCTCATTCCCCCCCACTCACTCCCATGTCTTTTATATCAGATGGATTGGGTTATATATTCTGAAAAGCATTTTTGGTGCAGAATTCCATTACCTTCAATAGAGAGAAACCAGATGTATAAAAATGAAAGAAATATGTATCTGTGGGGAAACTAAGTGTATACCATTACTTTCCTAAAGCCTGGTCCCAGACCTGTATTGTCTCCAGCCGCGTTGTGTTGGGCAGTGAGACACACCAGGCTGGGCTTACAGTCCTCCCATGCCCTTGTACTTTGTGCTGCGGGGTTTCACCCCTCTAGGAATGCACTCCCTATAATGAGGGTCAGGGGTCAAAGTGCTGCTGCGCCTGCAGGCCGGGATCTCCCAGGCTCACTCAGTCACTGACTCTGTCCCTATATTTAAATCCTGCCTCAGGACATGTTTTTCAAAGGGCATCTCCTAACTAGTTCCTGGTTACTAATTAGTTTTGTGCCATGCTATTTGTCTTTGGGAACCTGAAATGAGAAAGGAGAGGAGGGGAGGCACAAATGAGTCTAAAAAAATATAGCGTATGGTTGGCCTCAGTGCTGATTATTATCATTCAGATAGTCCTCTGCTGCAAACACTGAAGTATGCATCAACAGTTGTGGAAATGAATACCAGTGCTGCATTGTTGTGTTTGAATTCAGCCTTTCTGCTGTTTAGTGACAACATCTGTGTCATTCTGTTGTGGCTGAAATTAAATAAGAACGTTGAATTTGCCCTTCTTTGTTCGGCCTGCTTTTAGGAGTGCTAACGGTGCATGCTATCACTCCCAGCTGGCTAGCTTTCTCTCTCGCAAGTCAAATCATTATTGGATTACATTTTCTGGCTTCATAAAATGTGGTTAAGAGGCACTTTAGACATATGGGCATGACCTGCTTTCCAGAGATGGCTATCAGAGCAAAAGTGACAGGTCAATTGCTGATTTCTGTTCTGTAAAAGGGAAAGGGCCTCCCTACCCTGAGCACTCTAAAAGGTCGCACGCTCTCTCTCTCCCTCTCTATTTCTCTCCGTCTGCTTCTCACACACACAAAAACTAAAGTAGTCTCGCAGCATCGGCACACACTCAACACAGAGCCGAGTTCTGTGAGTGTGTGTGTGCGTGCCTGCTTCAGGAGCCTGAGCGTGTGTGTCTGTATATAATTGTATAGTGGGAAGACACACACTTAATGGAAGTGGCTCTTCACTCTGACAGCTGGGTGGTGCAGATGAAAGGTCTGCTGTAGCATGTTGTCTACCACTTGTGGAGTCTCCAAAGAGAGTGGACGGCACAACAGCAAACCACTCAACTGCAGACGCTCCATTTATCCTTAATTAATATACAATTATTGCATGTCATTATAACTCACTCACTCACTTAACTATTATGTGTACAGTGTAGTGACTTATGGATGGTTTGTTCTGATATAAAATACCTCAGATATTGTACAGTCCAAAAGTGCTTAAGAGATACAGATTGACTAGAGAGGCAAAGAGCAGATTCACTGAATGTAATCCAAAGCTCAAGAGGTTTATATTGTACTTCCCATATTCTTGTTGCATTGCGTTATAAAGATTGAATATATACTCTTCAATATAAGTGAAGCAGATTTGTTGAATATCACGACAATAGTGTGGTGCAGTGATGTATTTATGACATCTTTATTTCGGACGATCCGGACGTTAGCATCACAAGGGCTCACTTCACAAAGAGTTAACGGGATTTCTCCATTGGATTCTGGAACATCGCAGAAAATAAGATCTGTGGCAAACACACTTGTTAATAATACTTGCACATTCACCATGTAATTTATGTCGTAGAACAAAACATGTTAATCTCCTACATCATCATTATCATCGTCATCATCGTCGGCTCACTACACTAAACAAGCCTGTTTGCTATCCTGGCTCCTGTACTCAGCACTTTGGCTTAAGGTGGAAGGTTTGGCTGAAGTTGGAGCTGATGCAGAAGCACCTAACCTGGTTCGGTTTACAGCCAGCTATGTACCTGCTGGATTCTTGCAGTTGTTTACTTCATGGTTGAATGTACTTATTTCAAGTCACTTTGGATCGAAGCATAAGCTACATGAAATGTAATGGAACCACAGACCTTTTTCTGGAATCTAACCAAATACGTATACATACATGTTGATGTAGAGATGAGCGAGCCTTAAAGTGCAAAACACATTTCTGGGTTTATGACTCATTCCTGCACCACTGAAGTATCTATATGAAACAAGTGCCCTTAATACTGGATACTTCATATAAAGCAACCCAGTAGCATCTCTCAGATATTCCCTGCATGTTAAATGCCAACACAACTCCATGCCCTCAGTTCAGATACTTCCATTAGTACACTGTGTGTGCACTGTGTTCTTATTGTGTCGTCAGTGAATCTGGACTGGGTAGTGTTTTCTCAAATCAAACACAGCTGTTGTGCACTTACATCTCAAAGCCTGAGCCTAGACTACTCTGAAGACCTCATCAGGGTCATTTTCTGCAGAGCTGACCCCCCTCAGGTGCCCCACACTGACATAAGACTATATACAACTGTTTTCACAGGCTGCACAGTAATCCTCCTGACTAGTAACTCATTTTGACCTGAGTAATTGGTGGATTAGCAACTACAGCATTCATTGGAGTGGTGTTTCTACTTTCTCCATAATTTACTCTCTGTTTCGGTCTGCTTTTGTCTTTACCTCTTCCGTTTCCAAACGCTCCGTTATGTTCATCAGCTAGTTGCTAAATCTGTCATTCGGTTGTTTTTTGCTAATTATTTACAATGGGTTTGTCCATACTTTACTACTACTAAACTAAGGTTGCCAAAGTTGTAAACCAAAACAGTACATTTGTAGGGTGTAAAATCAACACAATGAGCTAAAAGAGACTACAAATCTCCATTTGGTCAAGGGGTACAGCAGGGTTGGGATAATTATCTATGGAGTCATGACTAAGAGTGATGCTTTTCATATTAAATATAGTCATTTGATCTATTCTTGATATAGGAAATGTCTTAGTGCATATCTGATGTGCAGAATAACGTGTGTTGTGATGCAGTGCTTTCACCCTGTACTTTTAATACTGTACCATAATGTGATTTTTATAAAAAAAAAAGAAAGCACACTGAACACAAAAGGCATAAATAAGAAAAATAATGAGTTTCCTACTGTTTTAACTAACGTAAAAATCCCTGACATCGTCTTTTTTATAATGTGTTCATCACAAGTTGCCATAGTAATGACGATACAAATATAATAGATATTGCTCAGCCCTTATTTGCACATGGAGGTTGGTAGGTTGATCAATTACAGCAGAGAGGTAACTCTGCAGTTTCATTTAAATTCATCACATCAACACAACTTTTTAGTACATTTTAAACTTTTTTTATTTCTGTGAATAAAACTTATATAAGAGGTAATTATACATGTTTGCAGTTCTGGCAGCAGCAGCTTGTTGGGAATGGACGGTGGAAGAGTAATTAGCATGAGCAGCAATAAGCACCATGACTGAACAGAAAGAGAGATGTATGGCACCTAGAGAAGCTAACATTTCATTCACGGAGAAGAGTGTAAAGTGATCTTTTGGGAGCCCCATCAGTGACCGCTGTATCAGTAGCTGGTTCAAGGGCTCTACACATGTAAATGAGCCATCCTGCGGTGGGTGGCAGGTGTCGGGTGCATGATAGCTTCCTGGACTCCTGCCAGTCCATTATGAGGCACTTCTCACAGTTTCAGCTGTGCTTCAACTCTGTCAGGATGACGTGTTATCATTGTTAGCAACCCTCATTAAAACTAATTGGTATTGCTGTTTGAAAGGTAGCTCATTACCTTGAGGCAAACAGCTACGTTTTGTCTCAATAAGGAATGCTAACATGGCAAACACATTTACTCACTCTTGGAAGACCAACAAAAACATTTTCTTCCTTCAAATTCTGACAAATGGCTGATGAGGAGAGCAAGCCAGACTGAAATATCAAGGTTCCCCACACGGAGAGTCATTCTTACCTTCTGGATCCAGGTGGACAGACACACATGATGGGAAAGTAAATTTTTGCAGTCACAGAAATGTCTCAGTGGGTCACTGGCTCGATGGGCAACATCCCTGCATATAAAGCACTCTGACGTCTCTGTGGAGGAAGAGGAGATGGAGGCGATGAATGGTGGAGCACTGTGTTCACTTTGCATCCAAGGCTAATCCTAGTTCCAACTAAAACGTATGTTCTCGCTTATATTGCAACTTATTTACTATTACAGCATACAAAACACTGTTGCTCCCTTAATCATGAGACCTTTATTTAATCAAATAAATGGTAAATCTGGGACTGTTTATTACATTTTATTTTAATTCTAACTTGTAGTTTATTATTCAATTTGAATGTTTCTTTTCTTTAGAGATACTGTATGTTATCTATTATTCTATCCATCCATTTCAAATATTCTGCTTTTCCATGAGCAGACCACATTTATTTTTACATTGGTGTAAACTTAGAGCATTGATTCATGATGGTTAAACTGTCCCCGGTTAAGAAAAGAGGAAGAGAACAAGATCAGCAAAGAGGTTTCTAGACAGAGAGAGTTGGTCAACAGAAGAAGAGAAACAGGAAGTAAACACTAACGGGAACACATTTTGTGCTCTGGCGCAGTTCCAGCCGTTGGTACAGTGGAACGCACTATTTTCAGAAGCTATACATTTATTTTTAATAAAGAAATGAAAATGTGGTCTTTATTGTGATTAAAGTTGTTGGTTTATTTAATTAATTAATGGCTCACTGCACATTATCCTTTACAATATATCTTACTTATTTTGCAAAAAAACATTTTCAATACAATTAGATTTAAAGAGGGTTACCAAAATGTGTTTACACCTGCTCTGATGTCAGACAGGACCAGGAGTTGTTAATTGTTAACGACAACACGTTGCGTGCTGCCCTCACAACTCAGAACCGCGGCTTTGAACTCAAAGCTGAAACACTCCTTATATCTCGCAGTAAAATCATCCGTCCCGATTCAATTAGGAGTGGACATAAAAGGTAAGCCGTGGGTAGCATCACGCTAGCTGCCATACATGTGGTCCTCCAGCCCAGGGCGGGGGTTAGCCACAGAAAGCAGCATCTCAGATTGATCAGAAACCTCCTTTAGTGAGGATTCCCATACAGGAGCTTTGAAGCTAAACATGGGACAGTAGCTAGGAGCCACATTTGTTGGTTTCATCCCATTCAAGCGTGGGAGGCAGCAGTGAGGGCTAGCTGTCATCTGTGTGGGATAAACTGCTGCCTCAGAAGCTCCTGTCTCTTTTGGGCCTTTAGTTGAACCAGATTGCTCCAGGTGAAAATCCATCTTCAGATGAAAAATCTTTTAATCAAAGGGTGGGTTTTTAATGTAGCACATCAGATTCTGTGTAAGCAGTTTTTATTACTGACCAGGCATATATCTCACTGAGCATTAATGTCTCTGAGACAAGCTGTGAAACTGAACAAAAAACACATTAACTTCTTGTCTCAAGACACATTTTGGGGTAAAGTCAAGACTTTTCAGATGAATGTGTGGTGCCACAACTTTAGCTACGTGTAACTGACACCAGACACCATGGCCTATGGAAATCATTCTAGTGTGTGTCAACATTCATATGCCTGCCTCCTTTTCGTCTCTCTGTCTGACAAAATATTAAGTTTAGTTGGTTTTCATTCATTGTCAAAATAACTTTGTGTGTGTTGAAGAGTTAGCAGAAAATAATGGAGCCATGCAGAGACACACATGGAGCACGACAGTGGAGCTAACAGGCAGTCTAGGTGTTTCAACAGCCTGACCGAAAATATTTCCAAAGTTACAATGATGGCAGGTTCACCAATTATCCACCCAAGTCCTTTTTTTAATTTAATTCCCCCGAATCTGTACTGCTTTTACGATCATTATGGCAAGCCCCGAGGCACTTCTGGAGCTAAGTCACAGATGCACTGCCTCTCGGTAAATAACATGAAAACAACAATACAACAGAGATGTAAACAACGCGGCGCGTCAATTCGTAGCTGAGCTGACACGTCTGCGTGATCTGTGACATCCATAATTAACTGTCAGCAGTGTCAGTGTTCAGCAGCGTTTCACATGAAGGTGAGTGCTCCACTAACTGGCTGAAGTCCCCCCCTCAACGCACGTTTTAACAGCTAACCAAGGTTCCTGTGCAGCAGCAGCAGCAGCAGGCTGATGTACTGAACCTCAGTGTGTCAGCTGCCGCAGATCTCCCACTATCACAGAGCAGAATGTACCAACATGAACTCTGTCAGGAGTGTGTTTACACTACGTGACTGTCTGAAAGTGGCTTTAGCGGTGGCCGCCTGTCAGTGACGTTTTAATTACCTGCTGCACTCTCACAGACATTCATCACAAGAAAGCAGACCAAAGTAAGCTGTAATCTGATTCAGTGTTATAAGAAGAGTTTCAAACGCTGTACAGTGCACTATACAGTAAACAAATGCCAGATTGAGATGATTTAATTGTCCTTTGCATTGCTAACGACCTCATTAACAGAAGAATGATGGGAAATCAGCATGGTCTGGGCAAGGAACCGCCTGTGTGACAGCCATCTGGCTGCAGTGGGGGTGGGTAGAGTGGGGGTTGGGGGCTGGTAAGTTAACACCACGGCCTTCACCACTTCCAGGCGCAGGCTTACAGCACCTCTAGATGGAAGCAGTTATTACTGTTTTACTAAGCAATCAGAATAACAATTCTGTTTTTCTGTTTGTTCATTTGAACAGTAATAAGATCCAGATTAAAGAATAAATGCATCCACTGAACATTTGACATTTTAACTGATATAAAATTAATAAAGGGAAAAAAAGGAGGGATAATATATCCAGGGTGGATTTACTTCATGTTTTCTCGGTCATTTTCAATTGAAGTCTTTGGGTAAGTACTGTATGGCTGGTACTGTATTTATTAAGCATAGAATCAGTCCTTATTGGACAAAAAACAGCGAATGATCTCTGCATAATTTGATGTGCCTTCTAATCTTAAAAGTATAAAAACTGAACATTTCCGCCCTTATCATATCAAATAATATACAGATTCCTTCATCTCCACAAGCTGCATTCATGGAAGGTGTGTGTTATTCAACTATGTATATTGAAAATGAGCGATGACTGTCCTTCACTGTTTAAGCGATGTGTCCACATTGTTACATTACATTTCCCAAGACATGGGGACAGTACAGAATAACAGCAATATGTTAAAAGTTATACAATCATTTAATTTCCCAAAAGTGACATTGATCTCGATTGATAAATCCATTCACTGATTGGTAGTGTACGATCATCAATGCACTTTGAAAAGAAAATGGATACAATTAATCATCTTCAAGGCACGTAATTAGATTTTCTCAACTGAAAAAATGTGCCCTTAAAAATAATAAGTTTGTCACATTACAGTTACATATTCATTTTTGTTTTAATGTCTAAAATATAAAAGTGTCTTAACCCCCTTGTATTTTATTAAAAACAATATTAGTTGATAAACATCTAACTTTTTGGATTGAATATTGTACTGTCATGGAACTTGTGTTTCACACCACTCATAACTATAATATTTTGAAATATGCATTTATTTATTAAGCCACACAACTTGCTTGCATCAGTTTCCTTGTGTGCAGTCTATTATGTAAATTGTTTACTAATTTAGAAAATGCAATTAAGCTATTCAGGATAGCTACTAATTCATTGTGGCATATTTGCATATATTAATTAACTGAGCTACCAATAATATTGGATCATCTTCATTGTATTCACATTTGAGTGTTTGCATGTAAAGCAGATGGTTTCTGCTTTTCTAATGTCATCACTTCATAGATTTAAGACTTCCAGAAAACTGCAATACATCATCAGGCCAGCAGCATCACTCGATGTTAAAGACGTGTGTTTGTCATGAAATGCATGATGGGATGGTATACATACCGCTGGATAAACTCCTGCATGACTCTGCTGAGGACAGTGTTTGGTACTCACTGGCCATACTTCACTTCTGGTTGCGGTTGAGAGATCTCTTCCACTGACTTCTGAGTACTTCCAGATACCGGCAGTTTCTTCCACTTCCTGTTAACATTCCTCTGTTTTCTCTCGTTAGACAAATAGTGTCAAATCAACTTGTCAAAACTACTCCAGCACTGAACGCTCTTGTTTTTGCTCTTGCTCTCTGTTTTTGTTTTTGAGGAAGTTATAAAAACAGGCAGCCAATCACAGCTGCACCCGGGAGCATGCCAGGACAGGAAGCTGAATGGAAAAACAGAGAAAGGTTTCTGGTGATCTCAGAGCATTTCCTGTCCTGACTGTCCAATCACTTTCAAGAGTGAGAATGAGATGTTTGTAAATCACAACAAAGCTACATGCATTGTTTTGTTTAGGTAGAGAAGTGCAAGCTTTACAATATGTCATGATGGAGGAGGAGCATGTAGAGCATGCTTTCTTAAAAACACCCCAGTGTGTTGCAACAAACCACGGTGCACTCTCACTGCTGGGAAATGACACACACATCTTTCTGCATAGTGACTGCAGAATGGAAAGTTCCAAAATGACAGTTATGACATCTTTGTGTCCCCTAAGCACATGTTCATGGCTGAGTGGGCTTTTCACAATATATAGGTCAACATTTATTTAAAGCTTAAAGAATCAAATGATCTTCGTTAAGAACCTAAATAGTCCTAAAATTGCATGAACGGCAAACGAAATGTAATACATACTGTATCATACACAAATCTCCTTAATCATTTTAAAACAAATATTTAGAGGGAAAAACAAGACAGTAATGCATGCTCTCAGTGCATGGAGGCTTAATAAATAGAGAACAAAATAATATCACGTCCAAAATGTAAAAGCCAAAACGACATCACATCCCACATGTAATCTTCTTATTTTCATCAGTTTCCTGGTTGAAGCTGCAGCCCCCCAGCACAACACAGCGAGGCCACAGCTGAACAGATACGTTTGATGACAAATTGTCATCATTAATATAGGCAATACAAAAGCTTTAGTTTTTTTATATTTCAATTTTGCTTCTCTCTTATTTATTTTAGTTCACTGTATTTGTATTTATTTATTTAGATTGTACTAAACTAGATATTGTTAAGCTCATATTACAGGTATTGTGTAGTCAATACATTGATGTTAAGGGAAAGACACTATTTGAAATGTGATGATCATGTTCTCTATCCTATTAATATCCATGAAAGACAGGAATGAATGTAACTGTGTAAGCTTCCCCTCATGTCATTTGTACCGTCTAAAAACTAAAAAACAGGGAAATATGTTGTTTAAATATAAAAATTATAAATAATGATTCCAACCTAAGTATGTTTTCCCAGAATAAGCATCCAAACCAAACAAAACAAACATATATAGATATAAATATATATTTGTATTATTAAGCTAGGCCTAGCTGCTTTTACCCTGCAACACGAGAGCTATGCTGTCACTTTATTTCATTTCTTCCACATGAATCTGGTGAGGAGCTGACTTTCTGCAGGGACATGTAGCTTGAGTATTTTAGAAATAAATTATATACATACTAATAATGTGCAAATGTGTTATTTCTCAGGGCTGTTGTTTTGAAATGATCACACAGTTTTAACTTTATACAGACGCAGAATGTGGAAGAGCTACATACCTTCTCAAACAAAGCACTCAGCTTCAAATAATACAACCTTGGAGAAGTTGTTGCTATGGGATAGGTCTACACTCTGCCTAATTAAATGGCACGTCTCCTACTATTCATGAAGAGCACTTATTAAAACAAGCATTCACATCCAATCCACTAGATAAATGACTGAACACCAAGTGCCATAAAGCCCATTAAATTGCTTCTTTAGAGATGGATCAGGTCCAAACACACAATCAAAGGATTTGACTGGGATTATCTCTGATTAGAAACACTCAGGGACAAATGAGGAGATGACAGGATATCATGCATTGAAAGGATAAATTAGCAGTCACATACCAGACCAAATTTGTGATGGGTGTTAGGGAATAAAGAGCGGGGGGAGATAGAGTGCTAAAAAGCAGAGGAACAGCTCTCCACTTTTTGGTAAGCCCAATGATACATGGCCAATGTAAACCACAGTAAAAGCTTTTCCCTCTCCTCTAAAACCTCTGCCATCTAAATAAAGTCCACATCAGGGAAGGAATCCACCACTAAGAAGTGAAAAATGGGCAAAAAGTAACTGGTGAGAGATAAATCTGTTAGTTTATGACCTTATGGTGTTATGTGAATGTGAACACATTTCCTTTAGGACCTTTGAGAAGCTTCAAGTACTATCACATCATGCTTTGATACATTTCAATTCACAAATGTTTTGAAGACGATTTTATCATTGCTTAAAGTGGAATTAAAATCCCTAAATACAAACTTTGCATCATCTCTGCAATATATTTCAGTATAACCGTATTATTTCTTTTTTTCTATACTCAAAATGAACCTATGTGTATGTATTTCTTTTGTCACTGAAATTAGCTTGAGCTTCAGTCAAAACCTGTATTTTAGTCACTTGGAAAAAAATAATGGTTATTGTGGGTAGTTAGACCTTTGGAATTTCCTTAAAAAATGCAGCTCCAAACCTTTTTTAACCAAACATGAGATTGCGAGCTTAATTTGAAAATCAAATGTAAAAGAGCCTTTTTTTTGCACGGTAGATATTTTAGTTCCACTCCAATTTGAATATTCAAAAGTAAATTAAAGTAAAGCAGGCCTAGTGCTGATAAAACACTTTTCAGGAGGATAAATAATGTAGGCAGTGGTTAATGTTAGCATGTTCTTCTTTGCATATTTTAAAACCAATGAAGATCTTCGTTCAATCGCATTAAAATTAGGCTTTAGCTTTCTCACAGACAGCAATAAAAGGTATTTTGGAGGGTTTTGTGCATTAAAGAAATTTGACCTCTGAACTCAACATAATCTTCTCTGTCATATGCTCACTGTCAGGATCTTTTCCCTTTGTGCTTTAACTAGGTGGCACGGACAGTGGAAAGCAATACCGTATATACCTGCAGGGCTTGTCGAAAGCTGAAAAGCTCAACTCATCTACTCTTTGATCTGTTTCATCGCCTATAATGATGAATGATGTGACTCACAGCTTTTCTTTGTGTAGGATTTAATTTGAGTTTCTACACTGGGACTGAAGATTCATAAGTTCACGGATAATGTATCCCTTTTAAATTACGACTTCCCTACTGGTCTACAGAATAATTAATGCTACAGATAAGAACAATGCATACAATAAACCTCTCAATTTTAACCATGGCAGCAGCATTAACATTTCCTTAACTTTTTGTAAAAGTAAATATGAAATGCAACAATTCTTCAGCTACAAATGTTTTAAAAGAAGATTTTTTGGCGGTTTTGTTGAAATCCAGTCAGGCCTTATGGAGATTTCTGTTGGCAGCTTTTTGACATCAAGAAGCTAATATAGCATTGGTTATCAACTGCTGATTAATGCTACTTTTCCTGAACAAGAACGCCTCCTGCTGTTTTGTAAAAACAAAAGGAATGTGGAAGCTGGCAAGGTAGGCTAACTTGCTTCCACTCGAAAAAAGAGAGCTAGCAAGGTAAGTGACAGTTAGCTTAGTCTTAGTCTGCTTAGCTTCCAAGCAGAAAGAAAAGCTATTTGTGAAACAGAGGCTTAAGTATATCCATGAAAAATAGCTTATCGGCTAACTAGAGATATGTCTATCACACTCTCCATGTTAAATAAACTAATAAATAAATCAACCCAGTCTCACGGAATTTCGTGTTATAGTCACGACATTTAATCTATTGATTCGTGTTCACCAACACGATTATCCCCTTTTTTTCGTGTCACACAGAACGATTTTAAAAGCAATGTATTTCTATTGGTAGTATGTTTCGTGCCTGCAGCACGTCTTTTTGTCCAGTCGGGTCTTGGAAGACCGGAAGCTGTGGGGTTCATAAAAACATGCTCTTACTCAATATCAAGCCACAATTATTGTTTTTATTTTAAATCGTATAATGTCGTCTGTGAGGAAAATAAATGGGGCTCAGAGCCTCAGAATACTGATATCTGTATTTTTTAAATATTTTTTTCCTTCTAATTTACTCACCAACAGTGGCGTTTATATATGTACAAAAGTGGTGGGGCACAAACAACTTAGATGTCTATATATAAGCTTCTGCAGTGAGGTTCATGGCTGGTGAGGCACTGGCACTGACTCTTCAGGTTTACAAATATTATATTTTGACCTAAATCAAAATATAATATTATTTTCAAAAGCCTCTTTAGTCTGATGCTTCAATTAATTTTAAACAGACAGTTCAACAGAAGGATACTCAAAAAATGTAATTTTATCATTTAAATATTGAATTGTTCTCTCTTAGTAAGATCCCATTTTCAATAAAATTGTGGTCTTACCTTGACTTGAAGATGAAGTCCATTGCCTATCCTTCTGGACAAAAATCTCTATTACTTTTTTGTAAAAGTCGTCCTTATCTTCTTGTAGTTTCAAAAGTCTATCATAAATCTAAATGATGGATTTATGATTCGAAAATTATAAAAGTAGGGTAGACATGTGGATATTATCCGGCTGAACAAAACGTACATTTATCTAACAGCTACGTTTCCCACAGATCTTATTTTGAGCTATTTTCTAAAATCCTATGGAGAAATCTCATTGCTTTTTTGTGGAGGGAAGCCATGCGCAGCTTACTTCCTGGTTGTAGGACCCGTCTCTCTCCTCCTCTTCACACACCACACTTTTCGCGGCACACGTACTTACAGCCAATCAGCTCTGAATTATGTGAGATGACTATGGTGGGGATGGCAGCTCTATGCCCCTATGGTCATTATTTTTTGCCACACACATTAAATAGGAAAATACTCTGCATGCGCAGTGTAGTTTTTACAGTCACCGTTCACTTAGACAGTGAGAGGGAGGGGCAGGATCGGGTTTTGTCCCACATGGCTCTAAACAAACAGCTCAATAGGCACACACTGTAGACACTAATTAGAAGAACACAGACTAAAACAGCAATGTACAGACAAATCAGATGATTAAACATGATCTTAAAATATATTTTATATATATTTTAATTTATTTTTTGCATTTTGTTGTAATCATTATTTTAATACTTTCTGCTGACACTAGGTGGGGCTGTGCCCCACCTGCCCCTAATGGCCAGTCACCACTGCTCACCAATAACACACAATTATCCTTGTTTTTATTTATTTGTTTAATTCCATAATC